TGATCCTGCTCCTCGACACGTAACTTTCAATGGGTGAAAACTTTTTGCATTTTATGTCCTGCACTCACACCAACACACCCGCACACTCACACACCAGCACAGCCACAGACAAAGAACGGTGCATAAAATGTTTGTAAGTGACGTTGAAATTGAGACACTTGTCGCTTAATTGTTTTTCGAGTTTCCACACATAAAAAAGGGGAATGGAAAACGAGGCAGGGACATCGCCATCGCCTGCCTGCCTCCTTTCCTTTGTCGTTTTTGTTGTTGGCTGCTGAGACGTGCCTGGGAAATTGAAAAGGGATTTGCCTTTTGCCTTTTTTAAGGGGGATCACTTACACCCCTCATTTCTGGGAACCCTACCCATTTTGTACTTCCCGAGATCTGTTCTGTTTGCTCGACTTCTTAGACCATCGAGTCTGTGTGGGCGTGGATTGCATTCGCCTGTGGTTACTTGTCTGCAGATTATTTTAAGTAATTATCAAGCGATTTGCGTAAAGGTCTTAAGTGTTCTCAACTTCTGAAGAGGTCTCTGATGACGTTGGCGTTGCCGATGCCGATGCCGATGCCGATGAGAGGAGCTGGGCGTGAATTAAACATGTAAATTTAAACAGCTAAGTGGAAGACAGTTGCATGTAATTGCGGTGGCAAAGTGCCAGCACGAAAAAAGGAAAACTCTTATTTTCAGCAGTCATGAAAAGACGCAATTAAATTGCAGTAAGAGAAGGTTTATGTCCTGTATCTCAAGGCTTACAGTGGACCACTATCCTGTGTTGATTGGTTATTACTATTTTAGGATGCACTTCAAGTGAATAGTAATGAGACTGGAAACCTAGAAAACTCTAAGCTCTTTTAAATTCGGTTTTCTACGCCACACAAATTTTAAGGTGAGGAAATTTCACTGTCATGAGTGCTGATGGACAAACGATCCACGGTCGGTTAACTTACCTAAACGCAAAACACTTAATACAATTTACTGCGGTGAGTGGAGTCTATTTCATTTCGGGCAAGGGGAACTGACTGACTGTCAAGTTGAGTGCCTGCTGCCTGATGTTATATAACTTATTACGACCATAATTAACACTAAATTCCCCAAATGGCAACGGACAACTGTCAGCTGCAAAATCATTTGCGGTGAGGAGTCGGAGTCGGATCCGAATTCGCATGCAGACTGGCTGATGCGGCCCTTGATGTCCTTGTTTCTGCTCCCTGTCATGTGGAAGGATCCGGGTAGCAAGTGTCCTCATCCCATTTCGCTGAACCTCCGGCCTTCTTGTTCCAGGACTTTTGCTGACTTATGCGCTGCGTCGTGCTGCAGCAAATTATAAAATGTTTGCCCTGCCGCATTTTCCACACATCACACAAGTCATGTCCTGCCGGCCGGTCGGTTCGCCATAAGACGATGGTCCTGCTGCATTAATTTCCAGTTTGCTACTCGTAATCAAATTAGCAAAACCAAGATGAATTGAGGTCACATCTTGCAGATGCCATTGGTAGTGGAATCGCCCAAGCAACATTTAAGCAGGAATAGATAAATAATTTTCACAAAGTTTTTATACAGAAGATGTTATACTAAGTTCAGAATTCCGCGTTAAATAAATAATAACAAAAAAAATGAATTCCCACATTTATTTATGCAATTTTACCCACCAAACAAGCTGTAAATAAATTTGAAGTCTCTTATTCTAGTGACTCGGCCAAGACCAACTAATTAATTAGGCCAAGTCAGATAATATTCAATTTTACACCGCAACCATATTGATTATGAACATTAATCTGGGTAAGGACAAAGGATTCTCTCGGTCTCCGCTCATCCTTGATATTAATCGGACTACACAGGGTAATACCCACTATTTCATGGAGCATTCGGTACCGCAGCAGCAAACAAACACACTAATTGAAGGGAGGATTCTGCAGGCATAGGCTCTTTCTTCGGTGGAATCGCTGCAGAGCCCCACAAATTCCCCAATCAATACAAGATTGCTGTGGGGGAGAAGCCGAAATTTCATATATGTATGTATCACCCGGCCCTTCGGCTCGCACATGCAATCGAGTTTTGAGTTACACAACCGCAAATAGACAAGCAATGCTTCCAGTTGAGTCATCAGGGTTCCAAGGACGAGGGACGCTAAACGGGAAACGGAGAACGGAGAACGGGGGACTGCCGATTTGGCCAAGACAATCGAACCGAGTGTCTGTGGGTGAACCGTCTGACGTTTATGATTGCAGCAAACAAAGGCTTCGATGACTGCACTTGAAATTGATAATTACGTTGGGCAATATTTGTCCATTGTCGCTGCAGATGCCTTTGAATTCGAATCAAACAGCTCTATTGATTACTCATTAAACTGTCGCCTACAATCAGAAAATATATCTCGGATCAGAGCAATAATACTCTTGGTTTTTCAGAGGCTTTTAGATAAATGTTTGCAATATGTAATAGTCTCTAGCTTGAAATATCATTTGAATGTGACACAATAATATAATTAAGAAGCAAGTGAAAGCTTGGTAAGGAAACATCCATTTTCATCAATGATTTATTTAAGGCTTGCCAAATATGCTTCGCAATGCGTATAACTTTTCCGACTGCTTCGAGAAACTACAACCTGCTAACAAAGGAAAACACGACTTCCATCTATTTCTGTTATCAGACAGTACTCAACCATGTTGTTTGTCCAATGAGAAAGTTTTCAATATGCAAAAGCTTTCGTACCGCTCTGCACTTCTGTCCCTTTTCCTCCCGATATCGGCCAGGTGTTTTATACGGAAAAATATTATCATGCATAAAAGTTTTACGGTAAGAACAACACAAACTCGAGGAGCAAGCAAAAGCTAGGTGTCCTTGGCTGTGTTTTGTCACTTATGGCATAGTTACTTGGACGAAAACTTAACACGATGTTGGTATGTTTATGCGAATAAAAGTACCGACAAGTAGAGGCAAAATGAGAATTTGGAAACATTTTCGGACATGGCTAAGAAAATATTTGCAACTTAGTTGTCGCAAAAACTAATAAAATCACCAATAGAAGTCTTTAAGAAAGTTATACCCATATTGGAAAGCCAATTTTGCAGAGATTTTGGAAGGTCTAAACATTTAATGTAATTAACACACTTAATTTCGCATATGGCTGGCATAAAAAATTACATAAAACCCTGACAGTTGGTTGGCCATTTGGCTACTTTCCCGCACTAGTCGCTCCTACAGCGACCCGCCTTGTTAACTGAAACTAAACAGTACAAACACGACTGTCAACAACTGCAACATTTACCGCATGTCCACGTCCTGCTCGGCGCTGGGTGACAGGACATGTTGTGGCTGCTGGGGCTACCACACTGGCCCCTTTCCGCCCCCAACGGCCACATGTGAGTGTCCATATGGTCGGCGGAGGCTGCTTTCCACCAGCCCTAGCCACCTTCGCCCGGTGGGAGGACAGTGCTTAATTGGTCAAACGCATTTTAGAAACCTTACCCCGTAAGTTAGTCTAGACTACTAGACTTTTTGAAAGGCATGCATCTCAGATTTTTCGAAGTATTCCGATAATTGGCGATAGAACTGCGATAGAACTGCATTCAGATTTTTCCAAGTTTTTAATTTATTGCCGATATAAGGCAAAAATCTCCACTTCTAGTATCTATTACTTTAAGGTTGACTACGAAGTGTTGTAAACTAAAGCAATTCTTGTTAAGTAGGTATTTAAGTTGTGGTTAAAAACTTTATTAATATTTTTCTTGCCTATTTTAATTATAATATTCATTTTACAAGAGAGTACTTAGTTTTAACCAATTTGTGAAGAAATTAGCAAGTGTTTATACTTTAAAAAGTCACAAAGAATCCGTGATAATTTTGTTTTTTTCTCAGAATCAGTGCAGTCACGTCTCAAAAATCTCAAGAGTGACAACTTGGCATATTTTTCGAGGCACGCCATTTTTGGTTCACGCTTCTCCATAACTTTATCGCAAATACTTTTATGAAAATAGCCGCCGTGTTGGCCAACTTTCTGGCCATTTTTTTGGCTTTCCTCTGACAGCTGGCCACGCCCACGCCGCTGACATGTTCCACTTGCCAAATACAGAACCTGCTCATCCAAGCACCTCACCTCTCATCGCTGGTCGCCTTGGGCCAATTCATAAATTAGACTTTGCATGCAATTTCGAGTGATCCCCCATTTCCCCCGACTCCTTGCAACCATCCATATATATGTATTTTCGGTGGTGTCCGTTCTGCCGCATTGAACACGCAATTTATGAGAGCACAAATTTTATTTGAATTACAAAAAATAACCCCGAAAATAGCGAAAAGAAATCAAATATGTTTTTACCAATTTCTGGACGATTATCAAGAAAAATAGCAAAAAACGCTTGGCCCCAATTTAAACGTTTTCTTTTTGCTACTATTCGGACAAATAAATTCAATAATTTATTGCCGAAAAATAGCTTGCTGTACTCGCGATAACAGCTGCGGCAAATATTTAATCAAAACGCTGTGTACAATTTAAAGTGGACTAAAAAAGGTTCGGGGAAAAGGCAAAACAAAAAATGAACCCCTCGGGGCGAAATATGAAGTGTATTATCACCTCAAATGTGTGTAATAAAGTGCCGCGGAGGCCTCTGACACAAAGCAGCTCGTTTCTCCCCACAATTGCCAACATGACGCAGAAGGCGGCAACGCTCGGGAAGGGTGCCGTATGACAATGGGGAGCGGCTCGAACCCAAACCCAAGCCCGAACCCAGACTCCAATCCCGACCAGAACAAAGGCCCGGGCCAATGAAGTTATCATTGTGCGCCAGACAAGCCAACAGACGGCGATTGGGGAGCGGAGGACACATTCGCAAATAAATAAATTACCCAAGGGCTTGGAAGTCAGCTACTTGTTTCTCACAGGTGCATCAATCTATTGGCTGTTTAAAATATTGGCAAAAACTTTAAAATATGGGAGTCGAATTTAAAGCCATTACGTAGGAAATATTCAAGTATAAAGAATACATCATTCTTCGATCTAGACATCTTTGAAAATCTAATAAGTTTTGCAGTTACTCTTATCCATAAATGTTATTTAAAATACAATACTTTAAAGTAAAGTAATCATGTCCAAGCCCACAAGTTTAAAGGACGCCTTGGCCAAATGGGAGGATCGCAACAAACAGCCGGCAACCTCAGCCACAGATATAGGTCTGCAGTTTCAGTATCCACCGATTGAGAAAATGGATCCGATCCTCAGCAGTCTCACCGAGTGCCAGAAGCTCAGTTTGTCCTCGAACATGATCGAAAAGATCAGCGGCATATCTGGAATGAAGAACTTGAAGGTATTGAGCTTGGCTCGCAATAATCTGAAGACTTTGAATGGCATTGAACCACTGGCTGAAACTTTGGAGGAGCTGTGGGTCAGCTACAACAACATCGAGAAGATCAAGCCCATCGAAGTGATGAAGGCCTTGCGTGTGTTCTACGTGTCCAATAATGTGATCAAGGACTGGGCGGAGTTTATGCGCATAGCTCTTCCACCAAACCTGACCGAAATCACTTTCCTGGGCAATATACTGAGCGATAATATGGAACCGGCTGCCTTTGTAGCAGAGGCAGTGCGTCGCCTCCCCAACCTGAAGAAACTCGACGGGGAGCCGGTAATTCGTTAGGAAAAACACAGTTTTGTTATGTTAAAAATAAAGGCAGGCAGAAGTCGAACCAAACTTTTGACCTTAGTGTTTGGTTAAATCACTGCCAACAATACATGACCAGATTCAAGGATTCCATAGACAACCGTTCGTATGGCAAAGGCATTTGGGCAGAAAACATTTTTCCATTGAATTTCTTAATTTTCGCTTTGGCACGACTTGCCAGGGATTTTCCAATTTTCAATGCGTTGCTGCTGATGAGCCCTATTGTTTTGCCTGTCTCATGTCGGCCATGACTCTCATCCAGACCAAATAGAAATGAGTATTTTATAAAAGGCCCCCGGATACCCTAAGCATAGAAAGAGGAATTAAAATAAATGAAAGGTTTTATATTAAATAATTTCTTGAAATTAAACTTAAAGAAAGGTCATATAAATAAATCATGAACATATTATACTAGAAGAGCATTTATTTCTTCGTTACTAGGAAGTTTTTCTTTCTGATTGTTTTTTGTTTCCTTAGATGAACAAGTTCGAGCTCCTGTTTCCCGTGTACTGCATTGTTTGCATATTTTCGAGTTGAAAAGTAATGAGCTGAACCTTTGCAACAAGGGCTTGTTTTACAACAGAACGATGTACATTTCCAAGCTAACAACAATTAACTGACTACCATGTCAAAAAAGTAAAATAAAAAAGAATGTATTTATTTCAATCAGCACCAAATAATCCATCAGCAAACACAAATAAATTTTTAATACTCAAACACAAGCCTGTAAAAAAAAAAAAAAGAAAAAGTGAAAACAATTGAAGTCTGGAGAGACCCATAAGTTCGCATTGTTGGGCTTTCTGTCGGCACATCGTATTTGTTTTCTGTGCATAAATAATCAACAAAGTCAATGGGAGGGGCACACATAGATTTTTGGCAAACAGACAACTAAACAAAATATACGAGAATGTGAATTTTCTGTCTGCCAAGCCGAAAGAAACCAGATAAAAACGTTCAATAAAATCATAAAAACGGCAGCCAAATCCCTGGCAAACCCTAAGCAAACCAATGCAAACCAAACCAATTGCCAGACACGAAAGTTTAATGATACTTTTATGTCTTTTCGATTTAACAACTTCTCTATTATGGCTGTTCTTGCTGCTGCTGTTGTTATTTGATAAACAACAATATTAATGTAAACATGAAGGCCGGCCATAGTTCGACATTTTGGCAGACAAACAGCAAACGAGACAATTGTACAATTGAATGCACACAAAAATATTTTCTGGCAGCCAGACTTGTCGCTTGGCTGATTAGGCGGGCAAAATGAGAATAAACAATTCTTTTAAAATGGCGGTGGAAAACTTGTTTTAATTTGTAATTTAACAGTTTCGGGCTTTCAGTAAATTAGACTTGTACAACTACAATTTTATTGTGCTTTTAATACGTTAAACGGGCTTATTTATTTTTGTTGACACTCGTTTTTTTTTTATTGGGCAGTATACATAATATAATATTGGTTTGGAAATGATTCAAACAGCTTTAATATTTTTAGTGCTTGGTATGGTGAATTTATTGAACTTTAAACTAAAAATCGTGGCCCGCTCTTCCGATTGAAAAATACTGCGGCACCGATCTTAATGCCAAATGCCGAAACAGTTTGTGGGTGTGTGTTTGCGAGGGCTTATACAAAATTTACGTTACAAGTTTGTGTGGCCAGCTCTGGCCGTGTTGTTCTGGTCGTTGGCAACTCTGGCAATGACAACGCCGAACCGAACTACAACACTCTCTTCCCAGAACAATCCCGCAAGGATATGTTAGTGTGGGCGGATGGTGTGCGAAACTTGGAGTGGTTTTTGCGCTGTGGTTGCGCAATCGTCTGTGTTTTTGCTTTCGGCCGGCTTTTATTTTTCACATTTTTGCACTTGCTGTGGTCAAGGGTTGTGTCGGTGTTGCCAAAGTGTTGCCATATATTCTAAATATGTTGGTTCGCCCTTGTTGGCCAGTTGCGGCGGCAACCGTAAGAGTGGCCAAAACGACAGATAAACGCAAAACGGTCGAAAAGGCCACTTGGCAAACTAAACGCGTGATTTATGCCCCGACGATGATAAGAGACAGCAGGAGAGAGAAAAATGCCGAGAGTTAGCAGACAGCCAAGCAGGTGCAAAAAAAACGAAAATTAAAGGTATTTTCCCCTCAAAAACAAAGTTGTTTTGTCGACCGAAGCGTTGGTTGAAATTAAATTGTTGTTGAAAATTATGCAAAACTGTTTTGTCTTAGTGCATCATATTATATAATTAAGAGCATTATTTCATTGAATAGATAAAAGGAAAGTACAAAGTAGTGCATTTTATTCCTTCTTATAAATTCTCCTTAGAAATATTTTTTAAGTTTTATCAATCCGTTTATTTCCAACTCGCCTAAGACTCTACATTTTCTTTCATGGTTTCTTGGCCGGCAGTGGCATATCTTTAAGACACTTTAAGCTCGGCATTCTCTCATGTGAGACGCTGGCTCTCCCAGAGATTCGCATTCACATCTTGTGCCTGTCAAAGGAGCATAAATCTATTCAAAGTCTTTACGAAAAATCCAGACAAATGCCAGAGATTACAAAAAGATTTCGGCCCACATGATGCATGGGGCCTCGGGCAATGAGAGGGAGGTCCTTCGTGGCGAGGATCCATGTGTGTGCCGGTCTATCTGGCACCACAAATGTAACCGAGCGACGCACACAAAAACAATTAAAGCCTGATTAATAGTTGCAGCCCACATCCGCCAGCCGTTCCACCTTTCGCCAAGTTCTCTTGGCCCCAAATCCCAGCCCCACATCCACATCCTGCCACTGAGGCTGAGTTATGACTTTTGCTGGCTGTTTAGCATACTTTTAGGCTTCAGACATTGTTACCCAATGTGCGTCTATATATATGGTAAGTGTGTGTGCGTTGGTGTGTGACTGTGTGTGACTGTGTGTGTGCGGTCTTCCCTCGCGCATAAGTCAAATTGTTGTTAATTTCACAATGTTAACCCTTAAACCAAAATAGCAGCAGAGACATAACATAAATTCATTTGCATCCGCCCAAGGGCCCTCGCCCTCCATTCACCGCTCGCTCTCCGCGGAACGCAGTATAAATCATTAAATTTTAATGCTTCCCAGGAGATCAATGAACATGACCGCAAATTATACTGAAGCGTGCTTTCAGGCGCATAAAAAGATTTCCCTGCAAAAAAATGCATTTAATGCAAACAAAAAAAGCAATCATAAAAACTTTCTGGTTTGAAGTTGCAGTTTGTGCGGGTGTCTGCCTGTCTGTCCCTCTCCAGCTGGCAAAAGGCAAACATGGTAATGATATTGCACTGGATGACTGACTGTCTAGACTTTAAATGTGTTGAGTCATGCAGCGATTTAATGGGGAATAAGGCATATTTCTCGATTCAGTGTGCAGATAGATATAAAGGAAGTGCAATAAAAACACTGGTTTCGAAAAAAAGTGCTTACAGTCACAGTGTTCCACTTTTAAGAGTCAGTTTTAAGTTGTGCATATAATTTTCATTATCACATTGCCAACAATAATAAAACTATAATTTTTGACTCAAAATGCATATTTTTAATATGGTTCTTGTTGTCGGGACTTCCTTCTGCAAATGGCAGCGTAAACTGCACTTCCGGCGCCTTAAAGCATGCAGTTCAAAATGGAAGATGGCCAGCAAGCCGAGATTCTTGCGTATGCAAACGCACACCCGGATAGTAAATCAGAAAGTTCTCTAGTGCGAAATGGAGGAGAGCAAGCCCTCTCGTTCAGGCCACACTTCTAGATACTTATTTCGACGGCATCTGCAGACACGCCCTCTGCGAGGCACTCTTACCAGCGTATTTGACATGAGAAATCATAAACAAGTTGTGCAAACTTCTGCTCGCATACACAAAACTCCATTTTGCAACAGGAAGTCGCACGCACACAACCCAATCCACACAGACGTAGCTCAAAATGTATAAATTAAAATTTTCGCATCGCGCAGTGGCCACCAAATAGATGCGGCCCTGCTAAAAAGGGATAGAAAATCCAGAATTTGCACAGGGGCAAGAGCGGACACTCAAAAAAAAAAGAATGCATTTAAATTAAATTAAGTATTTTATTTATTGTAATAGCTTTAACCATCTTAAACCACTTAACCATTTAAATTGAATGGTAGACCCCGAACTTTTTTGCTCTCGTTTAAAATGTTTTCTTTGTGTGCTTAACAATTATGAGTCTCATTTTACGGGCATTTTACTTAACATACATAACACAACTATTTTATTCCTAAAATAAACCTATATATAATTGTAATTTTCTCTTCTTTTATTTTATGTAAATAATACATTTAATATTTTTAAGAAAATTTGTTTCTCTATTGTTTTTATAAGCTATATAAAATATCGTTTTAATGGTTGGCTTGACATTTCGGGGAAACTACTAGCCCTCATATCCCTTTCTTTCAATTTAATAATTCCCATTTGGTGTTTGTTGTTGCTAGAGTTGAGCCCGGTCCTTCGTGTGTCTGCGTATTTTGTTTATGCGTCTTACATAAATAGTTTTTCATATTTAAATATTAAAGTTTTTGTTATGCTGTGCATCTTCTTGGACAGGACTTTTCTGCCCCTTTGTCGACGACCGAGCTCCTCTTTCCTTATTATGTTTTCTGAATAACAATTAACTTCCGCTTTAAGTCGGGGCCTCGCAATCCTTCTGCTGCCGCATGGCGTATGTTTAATTTCCGGCATTGCGTATACGCCTAGTATTCATAAACGGCATTTAATTTCACACAATTCCGCATTAATTTCGAGAGATTTTCCCAGCTTTCGCAGTCAACTGGTATTTCCTCCATCTCCGACTGGAACACTTATTAATGCTGTGATTAATTGTCGTTGCTCAAGAACAATCAGAAAGGACAATTTGTTTTCACTGACAACAGACTGTCACCGAGCTGATAAGAGTATGAAATTCTTCTTGGTCTGCGGCAATTTGATATTCCGGGCAAAGGCTCGGGAAATATTTGGATTTGGCTCTCCGGGCATCAAAGCAAACACAGATTAAGGAAGGACCTCCTTGGCTCCTTTCCCAGAACCAAGCCACTGGCTTCGGCTGACAATTTGCGAATTCGAAAACT